GGCGGTGAGCGTGCTGAGGAGGAGGTCGTCATCAACCTTGGCGCCAATGTCACGGAGCTCATCCGCCAACGTCTTCAAGCGGCGGCAGTAGTCATAGATAGACTGATCATCCTGATGATAGTCAAAAAATTTCTGCTGCAAAAAAACGCGGTGCTGAAACTTGTTGTCGGTGAAGAGGCCGTTGACACGGCGCGGGCGTTATCACCACCGCTCACAACCGTGTGAAACGGGTCCTTCGAGATGGTGGTGAAGAACCATCGGATGAGCATGGCGTCGATCGCGGTCCATTCGGAGTCGCCCACCATGGCCCGGGAGTCGACGGAGCCGTCAACGTGATCCACGAGATTGTTCTCGCGGAAGAGCAGCAAGAAGTACGTCTTCCACGTGAAGTACGTGGCGTCGGTGGCATCAAGGACGACAGGGACGCGGTCGTGGATGTTGATGTCGAGATATCAGCGGGATCCGGCCCAGCGAAGGGGTTGTAGGAAGAGGAGCCGGAGCAAGTCATGGCGGCGCGGCGGTGTGGCGCTGCGCGAGTGATGTGGAAGTCGGGTGGCAGGCGGCGACGCGGTAGGCTACTGGCGATTGAGGCGACGCAGGCTAGCGGCGCGAGCCAAGCGATCGATGCGGGCGAGCGGATCGGGCGCGACTTGGCTGGGAGTTTGGAGCTGGCGGTGTTGCTTTGGATCCGGATCGGTAGGCTAGCTAGCTAGCGACAAGGTGAGAGCATCTCCAACAGCCGCGCTAATGCGCCGCGCGCAAAAAACCTGTTAGCGCGCGCTGCGGCTGGTTTTGCGTGCCCGCCTGCACTGGCTCCAGCAGCGGCGCTATAATGCAGCGTGCACGCCGCTCCAGCAGGGCGCAAAAATACAGCGCGCGCCGCACAAACCACATGTACATTTCAAAGAAAATGAGCAAAAATGATCAAACAAACAAAATAAAAATCAATAACAAATAGTTTAAAATAAATCATTACAACTCAAACAAATAGTTTATCGTTCAGTACAACAACAAATAGTTCAAAATAAATTATTGCAACACAACAAATAGTTCATGAACAATACAATGTCGAGTGCAGATATCATCATGCTCTTTGTCGTCCATGCCATGCCCACCACTCTTCAATTAGATCATTCTGAAGTTCCTTGTGCGTTGCGGGACGCCGAATGGCATGATAGGAGGCAACAAAACGGGCTACCCTTTCAGTCCTCCGCCTCGCACGGGATGTCCCAAGAGCTCATACTGTGAGTAGTCTAAATCTTGGCCACGCTCATTCTCGATGATCATGTTGTGCATGATCACACAAGCGTGCATGATGTACCAAAGCATTTTTTGATCCCAAAATCTTGCCGGTCCTCTCACAATAGCAAATTGGGCTTGCAAAATCCCAAATGCTCTCTCCACATCTTTTCTAGCCGCCGCCTGAGCATTGTGGAAATCAAGATTTTTCTTACCTTCCGGTTTTTTCAACGGCTTCACGAAGGTTTGCCACTTTGGATAGATGCCATCCGCTAGATAATAGCCATAGTTGTACGTACGACCATTTGCTACAAACTGCACAGGTGGCAACTCGCCGTTTGCAATCTTATTCATCGGTGGTGACCGGTTGACAACATTGATATCATTCAAAGATCCAGGCATTTCAAAGAATGCATGCCAAATCCAAGTCTCCTGATCGGCCACCGCTTCAAGGATTATAGTGGAACCCTTTTTTTTGGCCGTGGAATTGCCCATGCCATGCCTTTAGACAATTCTTCCAACTCCAATGCATGCAATCTATTGAGCCAAGCATGCCAGGAAAGCCGCGCGCTTTGTTCATCGCCAATAGCCTTGCGGCGTCTTCAGCAGTGGGAGATCTCAAATACTCCTCGCCAAACACTTGCACAATTCCCACTGCAAAGCGCTTGACACACATGATGGCTTGGCTCTCACCCATAGCCAAATGATCATCAACTAGATCAGCCGGGATACCGTATGCCAACATACGCAAAGCGGCTGTCACCTTCAGAAAAGTGCTATGCCCGAGCTCTCCGGCGGCATTCCTCATTTGCTGGAAAAACCGGTCATGGCTCGCTAGTTTCTCTGCAATGCGCCTGAATAAGTCGGTGCTCATCCTAAACCGGCGACGAAAATACGACTCCGGGTATGTGGGATTCTCCACGAAATAGTTCTTCATCAATCTGTTATGGGTATCAATCCTATCTCTCCAAATTTTCTCCCGACCCATAACCGAATCACCGTGCTTCGGTTTTTTATTGATATGCATAGCTACGATCATTGCAAGATCCTCCTCCTCTTCCATATCAAATTCTTCTTCGGAAGAATCATACGACGAACTCATCTACAATGTTCAATACTATACTATAAAAACTACAATTCAAAACATGCATCAAATTCATGAAGTTTGAGCAATACATACCTTGTAGGCGTTTTGTCAAACACCTTGCGGGCGCGGTGCGGCAGCGAGCGCTCGGGCGCTGTTCCTCGGACGACGGAGGCGCGCGGGCGCCGGTGGTACTAGGAGGGGATGGGCGGAAGCGCGGGCGCGCAGGGATAGGCCGGGGAAGCCTGAGACGATCGTCGGGGTGCGCGGGCGGCGGCGGCGGCGTGGCCGGTCGGGGGTGGAAGCGCGAGAGGAAGAGCGGGCGCGAGCGCTCGAGTGTGCCGCGCGTTGTAGTGGGCGCCCGAAATACGCCGCGCGGGTAAGTGTTTTTGACCGTGCGCCCAACCCGTTTTAGCGCGCGCGCCGTTTTTGCGCGCCCGCTGGAGCGCCCTGACGCGTTGCGCGCGCGCTAAAACGACCTATTTTACGGCGCGGCCCTAATTTAGCGCGGCTGTTGGAGATGCTCTGACATGCGTTGCTGGGAGTTGCAGCTGGCGGCGTTGCTTTGTATTGGGATCGGCAGGCTAGCTAGCTAGCGACAAGGCAACGTGAGTGCCTAGGAGTTTGGAGCTGGCGGCGTTGCGATGGATCGGACTTGAAGATCGGGTGCAGCTCGGGTAGCGGGCTTGCAGCGGCGGCGGTCGGTGCGGATAGCGCACGGGCGGCGGCGGCGGAAGTAAGAAGAAAAGCTAAAAAACTGATACTATGTAGAAAATAATTTTATGCATCGATAATTGATTGATCGTGCACTAGGCACATATATAGATACAAGAAGTGCGACCGGTTTCGTGTCTTCTAAGATACATGTATATTTTCTTTTTGCATCAAAGATATACGCATATAAAAAGGAAGACCGACACTACAGGTACTGCATACGAAACCCAGACCTTTGTACATGTACACATGTTCAACAGACCCAACACCGAAGGCGTAGCTGCAGGCGATCACGGAGGATAACAAGATTCAATTTATCATTGAGCCATTGTCGGGAGCCTTTTCTCGCATTCGGTATGCCGTGAGCAGGGTAGCATTGGCATTTCTGACTTTGCTGCTCTAGGAGTTGAGATAGCTCGGCCCTCCTTTTCTTCTCTATGCTCCTTTATAAGCCGATTTTAACCTGACCTGTGCATCTCATTTCTCACCGTATGTGTTGAAATCTCAAAAAAGTCTTATATTTAGGAATGGAGGGAGTAGGTTCTACATCGATGATAGGGTTAAAAAATGGTAAGCGTATTTCAGTATGCAGAGCAGTGGCTAGTGGGTCGGAGGGGAATACGGTGTCCTAGGAGTTGCCGCCTGAGAGGAAGCGCAGCCCCAGTACAGCGACGGGCACCTCTGTGCGGTGGGCACGCACGCCAATCGGAGCAGCTGCAGCCACAGCCCCGCCACTAACCCCTATGTCCCCTGTTTCCAACCGCCGGGGCTGCTGCTGCTCGACGGCAGGGCTTCGCAACCTGCCTCCGAACAAACTGCCCAGGTAGAGCACTCTACCGGCCGGCGACGACAAGCCACCACTCGCGACGGCTCGAAAGGGAAAGAGAAAAATTTCACACATAAAAAAGTGCATATTCTTTTTCCCCAAAACACCACTATACTGATGGATGGGATTGATCTGGGCCTGCGTAGCCGGCTAACCTTAACTGCTTCCAATGAACTTGCTTCCTTAAGATTACTGTTGCAGGATGTCAGCGTAACGGGTGCCCCCGATGCCAGGACCCTACTTAATGGCGCCGCCTTCACCACCAAGGGCGCCTACGACGCGATGGCTTCTCAACTGGCCAACCCTACTCTTGCTCATATCTGGGACTCGCGTGTTCCCAGCAGAGTGAGGGTGTTCGGCTGGCTTTTCTACCTCGACCAACTTAACACACGGGCAAACCTGCTCCGTAAGTCCATCATCGACTCTGCTGCATGCCCCTGATGCGCTGCGTCCGAAGACCGGGCACACCTCTTCCTCCATTGTCCGGCAACTCGTGCCATTTGGGATGCCATTGGTCTACACCCTTGCTCTACCCCCTTCGCACATCTTTGGGTCTCCCATGCGCACCCGGGTCTCCCTGAGTCAGTATGGCCTCTCATTCTTCTTCTTATCATTTGGAAAATTTGGGACGCCCCTAATGCTAACACTTTTAGGGATATAGATGTTTCACCCCATGATGTTACTAGGGGCATCATTGCGGACCTTACTTTGTGGTCTCATCGCCTTAAGAAGGCGGAGGACAAAGTTCACGCCGGCCTATGGCGGGACTATTTTACCACTCGACTTGTCTAAGTTTGTAACAAAATGCTTTTGAAATATATTCAGGTGGGGAGTCTTTCCCCCCCGGTGACAGTTTAAAAAAAAAATGAGCGGTGAGAAATGTGTACGGCAATTTAAAAAAAAAAACACACGGTGAAATACCTTTATTCACCACCGTAGCTTAATTTCGACGAGTTGTCGTCTAAAGAGATTACACACATAAGATAAGCTACAAACACAATTCAGGAATTTACATGGTATACTCCCACTAAAAGGAACTACGTATATTACATAGTTTTACTATATAAGTACGTCTAGGGTAACTAACATGCACCTGAGAAGCTTAGTAAGCAGATGATCATCCCATTGTGTGCTTCGCTAGCGTGGCAAGCTGGCCGAGTTCAAGAACTCTTGCTCCAGACTGTACTTTCCGGAGCTGCATGTAGGTGTTAAGCCAACATTACTGACAATGCTGTTGCTTTGTGCATGAGAGCTAACACCATTTAGGTACCCAAGTGACTCGATCTCTCCATCATTTATGGGAGGAAGTTGACTCCTTAATCTTCTAGTTTTTAGGAGTTGCAATTTCATTTCTACCTCTTTCATGGTAGGTCTTTCTCTTCCTTTGGTTTTCAAGCATGCTTCCGCAACTGAGGCAATGTCATCAATTTCATTCTGGTTCGCTTCTTCTGCAACTTGGGGATCCATGATTTCCATGAGAACTCCCTGCTGAAGTCCTTCCACAAAGTAATGAGCCAAGCTTTGTTTTATACCTTGTTCATTAATAAAAATTGGCTTCTTTCTCATTAGAAGTTCCACCAGTATAATTCCAAAGCTATAAACATCACTCTTCTCACTTAGCTCCCCGGTGTGGTAGTACTCGGGGTCTAAGTAACCAAAAGTTCCTTGCACAATTGTCACTACATGTGTCTGATCAAGTGATAAAGACCTCGAAGCACCAAAGTCAGAAACCTTGGTAGTAAAGTTGTCATCTAGGAGTATATTGGAAGATTTGACATCTCTATGAAAAATTGGTATCGCAGCGGCTGAGTGGAGATAAGCAAGAGCACCTGCAGCTTCTACAGCAATCCTAATGCGATCACCCCATAAAAGTAAGCATTGAACACTTACATCAATGTGCAGAAGATCATATAGTGTGCCATTGGATATGAACTCATAAACTAGCAAAGGCACTTCTGTTTCGAGACAACAACCAAAAAGCTTGACCACATTCCGATGAATGATTTGTGACAGGATGGCAACCTCGTTGATAAATTGGTCAATCTCAGTTTGCTCCACCAGCTTAGACTTTTTTATGGCCACTACACGTTGATCGGATAGAATCCCTTTGTAAACCGTGCCATGTCCTCCACGACCAAGAATACGACTGACATCAAAGTTGTTGGTTGCTTTATCTAATTCCTCCAAGGAGAATATCTTTGTTTTATTTGTGGCACTTTCATCTAATATTAGTTGTTCCAGGAGTAGGCCTTGATTTTTCTTGAAGTATGCCCTTCGAATTCTCTTCTGTATGCCTCTCTTCCACTTGTTGATGAGTACTGTTGCACCTAGCACAAGAATAATGGCACCAAGGCCGCAACTAATTCCAGTTGTGATACCTATACATCCAATAGTAGTTATTATGAAAAAATATCCCATTTTGCAAGTTGCAATTTGTACCGAGGGGAGTGATATAAATTCGATATGATTTACCTAAGAGAAGATTGCGTCTCTTTGTTGACATGACACATTTGAGTTGTCTTGGATCAAACTCTTTTCCATGGGTGCACTCGCTGCAACTATGGCCTCCAGGGTAATTTAGGCAGGGGCCGTTACAAATATTTATCAACAAACACTCATTGACATCTGTAAATCGTAGGTATGTGAGCAACAAATGATGCCTGAAAATATTTGGTAGAAATGGCGGAACCATAGCTAGGTTACCTTGGCCTAGCACTCATCCAAGAAAAAATAAAACTACCCTATGAAGCAATGCGAACTTCAAAATACACGATGTCATTATTGTTTCTGAGCACATGCTAGTAAACAACCAAACCATGTAGAAACCTGACATTATACACATATGTTTGATTTCATATTTGTGAATACCATATTATTTCCGTGAGGTGAATTTACTTGTTTAGTTGTATGTAAATACCACTATATTCTGGAAGTTTGTATGAACACGTTTTAAAATACCAAAAAATGTTATATAAGATTAATCATATGCATGTGATATTCAGTGTTAGCTCAAACAAGGATCAATCCCTATGTTGTCATTTTCATGAATTAGCTAAAAAATATAGTACTTGTGCGTGGCTAGGACAATTTAGCATAATGTAGCATAATTTACAATTTTTAAAGTAATAAAATGATCATTATTCGAGTCTCTACATCATGTGATGAACATAACTAAAATTAGATACGTTAATGAGTTGTATGATTTGAGTAGCATGTTTAGCCTAAACCCACTAAAATTGGATAAATTATTTGGCTAAAGATGCCAACAAATGGAATGGCATGAATCTTGCTAGATTTATCATTGCAATGTTTCAGTCAATCATTCATGTACATGGAAAACCGTCGGTGCAGTTGGAAAACAATTTGTACCGGCAGTTGTAGTGTGTTTACCTTGGCATCCATTCAGTATGTATGGATTTCCATCAAAACCTCTAGAGCACTGGCAACGATAGCCGAGCTGCATTGTCACATTCTTGTAGCCTAGTTGGTTGACAATAATGCAAGTGCTATTGCTGCTACGACATGCATACATATCACTTCTTTGCTTGCTCGTAGCCTCTGAACAGGTCAAATTATCGATAGACCACCACATCTTCATACCATATTCTTCAGATAAATGAAAACCATCTAAAGAGATGTCTTGTATTTCCCACTGCCCATTGCTTTGATACCCAATTACCGCGATCCCTTCGTTGCCGTACCTTGAGTCATTTTGTGTTTCACTAACAGTAAGATATCCTTCATTCACTGAAATGTTGGACACAATAAATTTGGCCCCATCATCAAAATTGTCAACCCCTCGATCAAGAATTGTGATGTTGTCTAATGTACAGTTAAGTCGAAACTTTTCAGCAGCGTAGCAACCCTTTTCAAGCCCAAAAGGGAAGTGAATATGTGTGTTCCCGCAAAATTTGGTGCAACCGCCTTTTTGATTGGGACTGTAATGCGCTGCAAGTAGATTGACATAGGAAGAAGTCACACTAGGAGACTGCCACACGAGAAGTTACGTTAAGATTATGTGAATTAATGGTCATCCTATCTAGACTGGATATACAACTTATTAAATCATTAATTAATAATACCATGTTTAATTGCCAGCTAAAACATTATAAAGAAAAGAGGTACACTACTTGTGGAAAACCAATCTCATCAATTGGGTGGATACTACTCCCTCCATCTCGGTGCATAGGTCATGCGCGTAGTTCTGGGTCCTTGATTTGACTACCTAAAACCGTGTTTTTTTAAAGAAGGATTATCCCCACCTCCGCATCAAGCAATGCGCACAACCATTTTATTAAAGTAGGTAGTTGCATCAACCTGAAACAATGTTATATGTCTTCAAAAGTATATCATTGGATTCATATGCAAATGTATTTTCTAAATATATTTTTTATTACATATAACACAAATGTTCCAAGTTAAATTGACGATCTAGAACTACGAGCATGCCTTATACACCGAGACGGAGGGAGTACCAAAAGCAACATAAGTCTTATTAACACCTTGTTAGAATTCTGCATTAGTAGAGACAATATGATAACTGGGAGTTAAGGTACCCCATGTGGCACTAGTAAACAATATATCAATAACATTAGTATATCCGAATGTGTCAAAAGATTCTGAAGAAAAGACGTGTCCTAAGTTTCCAACCTCTATGATTTGCAATTTTGAGTTTTGGGCAAGAAACAATTATTGTCTGATTTGTTGTACGTAGAACTAATTTTATTTAAACTAGTAAGCAAAAAAATTCTATAAAAAATGATGACGAGCATAGAGAAGGAGAGAAAAGTTACAATCTTGGTGCAAAAATTACCATAATATTCAATGATGCATATATGAGTCCAATATTCATGACATGGCAGTTCAATATTTTTATATTACTGATTAAAGAGTAGATTGCTGACCTGGTCGTTCACAACCATCTATAAGGTAGGGGTTGCCGTCGTTTGTGTAACTGAGGCAGAGACAGGCGTAGCCTCCAGATGGCAGCATATCCAGGCAATCGCTGTAATGGCTACAAGCATAGCTTGACTTGTTATTCTGAGCATTTTCACAGTTTGGTTGATCCGTGATGGCCATGCTAAAATATGGCCATGCAACATTTCGTTCGTCTATCTTACTTGAATAGATGTCAACCGTATGAAATTTGTAATCTCCCGCCAAGAAAACTTTGATACTACTATTAGAGAGCCCTTGACCTTGACCTGCTAGTGCAGATGCGCCTTTGAGGCGGTCAACTACCAACCCGAATGCTGGAACGTCCCGCTGCAAACGGATGGAACAGTATCCCATCCCACCATCGCCATTGAAGTTGTTTGCATTTGCCTCCTTCATGGCCACTTTGTCGTCGAGGCAAATACTCATGCAACTACCGATGGGGTCGTCGGTATCATGGCCAAACAAGTAAACACTCACACCACAACCAACAACGAACAAGCTAGATTCTCCTCCATAGATCATAACACCTTTAACAGGGACCTCCCATGACATGTTATAGGTGTCGGTCATACCTGGTTTCATGGGGACGTTGAAGTGGATAGGAGGGACCCGAAGCAAAGTATCTCCAGGAGGTAACTCAAGGATCTCAGTGGTAGTGTTGGGCAGAAAGAGCCTCATATAACCTGCGGTGATGTTGCAGGTGAGCTCGAAGCCTTGCCGGAAGCAGCCCGGCCCTATCCCCCACGGATAGTGAAGGGCAACACCGCCGCATCTGGAAGGGCAGCGAGCCCGAGCCAGGTCGGCAGCGGAAGGGATATGCAAGATCCCACCCCTTCCATCCTCGGCGGCCGACGTTGGCTGCAGAGCTGCCCCCAAGCACGCCAACAAAAAGCACACGGCGATCATCGTGGCTCCGGCGGCGCGGGCAAGTCTGTTCTAGGTATTGAGAGTGTATGTATGCTGCCTCTGTACGCATCGAGCGCGTATTAAAAGCTGGATTCCCCATCGGATGTTACGGTCAGTTACCACCAGCATGTTTATTTTTTTTAAGTAATTCCGGGGGAAATTCTTTTAATTTTTGCGGTCGTCACCTTGTCGCTGCATGCCGAGCGCTGTTTGGCCAGCTGATATGATGCTAGCCGCTTGGGAGCACTACGCCTTGCAAATTTTCAACGGTCAAGGTACGTCTGGTTTTGTGGCCATGGAGGAGGATAAGTTTACACTTCTGGCCGTGCAGTGCAGGGAACTACTGAGAACCATCCAATTAATCTCTGGGCCACCTTGGCGGGCAGAGTACGTGCCAATTGACGGGTCTAGTCACAAATATTCCTACACATTTTCCACACGTACGTTCACCCCAAAGACATAGACATGCGAGCGTGCCCTTCAAGTACCACTGCTGTTGCCATGTTACTTTTTTCTTTTTGCGCGAAAACAGCTAGGTATTTGCGAGAAATTTTTTCAATCTATTCATCTTCAATCACCTAGCAATGACTACAAGCACTGAACCGAGCCGAAGGCACGCCGCTGTCATCGCCCCTCCATCATCGGAGCTGGGCAGACCTTGTTGTAGCAGACAGTTAGGAAGTCGTCATGCTAAGGCCCCATAGAACCAATGCACCAGAACAGCAACCGCCGCCGATGAAGAGTGTAGATCAAAAGGATCCAACTTGAAGACACAGGATCACAGACGAACGACGAACAGATCCGAGCAGATCCACCAAAGACAGATCCGCCGGAGACACACCTCCACACGCCCACCGACGATGCTAGGCACATCACCGGAACGGGGGCTAGGCAGGAAGACCTTTAATTTCGGCTTCCTGAGTAGGACACAAACCCTAACAAAACTCAAAAAAAAATCAAAAAATGGAGCCCTCCCACCGGCAAGGGCTTAAATCCACTTGCCTGCATGGCCCTAAGGCCACCGGAGACGGGGCGGACCGGCGCTGGCGGAAGGCAAAGAAGACCCTAGAGGTATTTATTGATCTGTAATGATGTTTATAGGAAAAGCAACTGGTTCTGACGTATCAGCCAGCCAAACATGTCTTCCCACTGCCAGGGAAAGACCATATATACCTAGCTAATCTATGAGCTTCAAAGTTGCAAGCTCTAAGTTCAAACGAGATAGAAACTGAATCAAAAATTACAGAAGTCTCTAATATTTCTCTAACTATCACACCATAGTCACCTCCAGCACCATGATGAATATAGTTTTTCACTTGTTTGCAATCTAAGGCCACCAGTATGTTTTGCATTCCCAGATCTTGAGCTAGCGCAAGTGCCTCCCTATTTGCGATTGCTTTCAGTGTGGACGGATCAATTAATCCCATGATGACCAACATCGAAGATCCCAGGTAAGTGCCATCACGATCCCGGCAGATCGCCGCTGCAGTACCTATATTACGGTCTGTTGAGACACCCACATCGACATTAACCTTAACAGTTCCTTCGGCTTCAGCTATCCACTGTCCCCTCCTCTGATTCTGAACCGGCCTTGGTATTGCATGTGAGTGTTGTTGTGCCACTTGGTCAAGCTCCATGATGAAGTTTGTGACGAAGGAATTTGCACCATGAGGGCTCTGTTGACTTCCTTTGTGGATCAGCTTCCTTCGCGAGTGCCAAATAGCCATAAAGTAACTACCATACGACTAAGAGCCTCATGGCTTAACACTTCCATCATTGCAAATAATCAGTTGCGAGCTGACGGTTCCGTTGTCGCAATCATGTGTTCCAAAAGGTTGTGGTCTACCAATATCCAAACGCACTGCACCATGTTGCATTCTATTAGACTGTGCCTCCATGAGTCCTGGGCTCCACACACGAAGCAATCATCATGTGTGGCCATATTTCTCTTCTTGCGAACATCCTTAGTAGGGATGGATTTCTTCGATAGACGCCACAAGAACATCTTGAGCTTCATAGGCACTGCTACCTTCCACAAAGTGTCCCAGGAATTTTCATCTCGGCTTGTATTGGAAGAAACCGCATGTTCCTCTAACCATTCTCCTCTTCTCTTCTTAATATCAATCACCAATTGGTAAGCTGGCCGTACAAGAGAATATACCATTCTTCTCAAAGCCCCAAGACCAAAAATCCTCCATAGCTTGGGTACTTCCAGGAATCTGCATAATAGCTCTCGCATCATAAGGCAAAAATACCTGTTATAGTAACTGCTCATTCCACCTTGCATTAGAGATATCCAACAACTCAGAAACAAGTTGTGGCGGGTGTGCAATGCGAGCAATGATTGGTCTCATATTCTCCGTTCTAGGAATCCAATTCATGTTCCAGATATTTTTGGAAGCACCATCACCTATGCGCCGGATGAGACTCAATTTCAGAGTGTTACACCCTTCTGTTAATGCTCTCCAAATTTGCGAGGGGTGAGTTCCAACCTTGGCTAAAAGAAAATCCTTCTCAGGGAAAATAAACTGCTTTCAACATTCTTGCACTGAGAGAATTCGGATTATCAATTATTCTTGCACGTGGTTTGTGCTGAGACTTGTACCCTAGTGAGTGAGTGCAGGCCCAAAGAGACCATTGGGCTATTCAACGTTGACGTATATGGTTTGGTTTGCTCAAGCCCAATGGACCAAAGGCCGACCCTGCGCCTTATCTTCGGGTTTGCCACCCTTCTACTTCACGGGTGCAACTAATCAAGGAGCACCCCTTGCAGAAGCCCCGCAACGGTCATTTTGATGGGCGAGAGTGCATCACTTGGCGCGCTTTCAGCTACCGGCATGTGTCGCATGCGGGGCGCTCCCTTAGGGCTGTTTCTATTTTTTTGTACGTATTCTTGGATTTTAGATATATTTTTTATTTATTTTTCACTTTTCGGTTTTCACCAGGTTTTCCCTACGTTTTGGAGGGAAAAGAAATCAAAAAATAAACTGTGCGAAAAACACATTTTTTTCTTCTTCTTCCATGAAAGGCACATATATGGTTCTCGAGAGGCACTGTTCTACCGTTTGAAAGGGGAAAATTGTAAAAAAAAATTATATCACAAGAGGCACAGATTTAGATTTGCTTTCGTGGAGGCTGAAATTTGCTTCGGCGTATCTCCTGGAAAAGTAAAAAAATAAACATGGTTTGTTTCTTCTGCAGGAGACACGGATTTGCATCCATGAGAAACACAGTTGTGCCTCTCGGAAAGAAAAAAACGTATTTTTTTTGCTTTCACAATAGGCGCAAATTTGCTTCTCATGGAGGCACAGATTTGCTTCCTCCTCTCGGAAAGGAGAAAATCTTGATTGTTTGCTTCCACGAGTGGCACACATTTGCTTTTTGTGGAGGCACATATTTGCTTTTCATGGAGGCACAGTTGTGGCCCTCGGTAAGGAAAAATGGGGAGAAAAACTTGCTTCCTGTTTGAGTTTTTCTTTCTGCTTTTTCATGAAAAAAAGTTCTTCAAAGCCTATTAACATGAGATCTAGTTTCAAAGATCTCAATGCGAAAAATTCAACGATGAAAACGGTTTGGAATTTGGACGCACGGTTTAAGAGATAAAATATTTTAAATAAACGAATCTATGGAAAATAGAGAAAACTTCCCGGATGCGACAAGTGGAACTCATGTAGTGCGCCACTTGTCAACCCCTGAGAAGGTGGGAGTGACAGTTGCAAGAGGTACTCCTTAATTAATGGTCTTGCTGCTTCACCAGTGCCTGGGAATAAAATAGAGGCTTAATGCCTTATTCGTACCTGCTGCTGACACGCCTCCTTCAATTGGGCAGCCCATTTAAGCGTATTCCAGCGGGAGTTCTGTCCCGTTTTAGGAAGCTTCTAGGCTAGTTTTGGGAAGATGAAGCACCTGGCCTGATTTTTTTCTAAAAAAGTTCTACCTTTTTCTACTAGGATTTTTTTTATTGTTTACCCTTTTTCGGATTTGTACTCGGCTTTTTTCTTCCACTTTTTCCTTTTTTTATTTTACTTTTTCCTTTTTAAAAAACTATTAGCAAACTCTTTTCAAACTCTTGAACTTTTTTAAAGTCACAAACCTTTTTATAAATTCAAAAAAAACAAATAAAAATTCTTGAAAAAATTTATTAGCAATTTTCATATTTGTGAACTTTTCCAAATTTGTAAACTTTTTTAGAATTCCTAAAATATTTAAAAAATTCATGAACTTATTTTTTGCACATTCCTGAACTTATTTCTAATTCCGTTAACTATTTTCCCAAATTTTTGTTTTTTTTATTTATGTGAATTTTTTAGAGAAAAGTCAATGTTCACCTAGTCAGCTATGGATGTCAAACCAGTCATCAGGTCAACCAAGCGAACAAAGGGCGGTGGCGACCGAGCAAGCTGCTAGCGCCGCTCTGACTGGGAGGCCTAGTTGTTTGGATATGAAGTATTAGGGCAATGTGCAGTGGTTGATAAGACAGACGTATCTTACGGTTTGCATGTAATTTAGAGATGAGAATAAAAATATGTCTACACTAGGTTATCTCTTAAGTATTATCTAGAATAACTAGCTATTCCTAAAAACGTTTTCTTACGAATTCTCTTTCCTCCATCTTAGTATTTATTCTACGTGGCACTTCTAAGACAACATCATTGTACATGCCCTTAGATAGTTAGATGTGAGATATTGAGAAATTGATTTTAGGGAAACCATTTTTTGTTAAGATTAGTCTGTACAATAATACCTTGTTTGGATGGGAAAAAATATACTCCCTCCGTTCCTAAATACTTGTCTTTCTAGGCATTTCAACAAGTGACTACATACGGAGTAAAATGAGTGAATCTACACTTTAAAATATGTCTACATACATCCGTATGTAGTACTCATTTGAAATGTCTAGAAAGACAAATATTTAGGAACGGAGGGAGTAGGAAATCACGTTTACCCCTCCCGCTTGTCCCACAAGCCATGATTATCTCTTCTCATCGCCTCCTGCATGCTTCTCGCGTCCCCATTCTCTGCATACAGCGTGACGTGCATGCACGCTCTCCGGCTAGCTGGCTCAGCATGTTGCCTTGTGAGGATGAGATAGTAGTATACATGCACGAGTACAAATAACCTTAGTTGGAGCACAACAACGGCTTCCATGTCGACGCTGGCCACGAGAACGACCACGGGAGCATAGGCCATGGTGCTGGCCTGTTGTGAACCTTGCAAGGGCTGGACCTGATGTGCACGCAGTAGGCGGAAACAGCAGCGGTAGCAGCACAGCGGCACGATGTCAGGGAACTACTACTACCGCCAAGGAAGACGAAGGCCCGACCCAACCCAAGAGGTCGAAGCGCGAAGGCAGGCCCAACCCATGTTATATATGAAGAGTCAAGTTGGACACATTAGTGGTAGTATTTAGGGCAGGAGAGTGAGGGAGGGGGAGAGAGAGAGAGAGAGAGAGAGAGAGAGAGAGAGACCCCTAGGGCAAAAGGCAGAGATTTGCATATTTTTTATCTTCACTCATATATATAAATTATGTGTACATTGTTTCTAATGTCACCAGGTGCCACTGTCCCTATGTTGTGTTGTTGAACAGTTTGATGAACAGGACAACTAGCATGTTCTTCGGATTCAATCCGACACTATGGGGCATTGTGCTTAAACGTCATTTTTTTCCCCTCCTATTGGTTGCAACACAAGGGTATATGTGCTAGTGAATAGAATTCAGGTGGGGAAAGCTTCCCCCTAACATTACGGATTAAAATCAAAATTCAGTGAAACTGTGAATAGATGTTCCCCAGCTGTGATACTGAACAGAACATACGCCTATACCCTAATAAAAAAATTGAATCCCAGGAAATAAAACATGAAAGTAATATTCTGTGTAAAAAACGAAAAAATTGATATTGCCAGGAATATTGGGAGTTGCAGGTATGACCGGACTGGGCTGTTAAAATTTCAGCACCAGCATAGCTAGGATGGAGGCATCCTCTGTTGTGTTGTACACAACGGAAACACCATGACCGCGGGAACCGAAAAATGCAAAGTGCTCAAAAAAATCTTGAAGTTTCCCAGATATAAAGAGTGCGTTGAGTGGACTCTTATGATTTCAGCATGAAATATTTCTGGCTGTTTGCAGACACCATCTGACTCAAGAAGTTGGAAACAACTACTGAAAATCAAGCAAGGTAGCTTCCATGGACTGTTGAAATTCCTGCGCAAACACAGCTCAAAAAATTCATCTGTTGTTAACTGTATAACCCTGAACATTCTATCGGGCTTAAAAAATCAGAAGCAATTCCTGATGATCAAGCATGTTACTTTCAATAGCGTGACATGTCAAAGATTCCATCCATCTCTGGCATCTCGCCTACCATGCACACCTGATGAACCAAGACTCCTATCGACCTACAACAGCTCGGCAAGCTACTCGATCAACTAAACTACATGCAAAACGGAAACAACACTCATGCAGATAACTGAATCAAGATTAAATCTAACAGACACTACAAACTGTACCATTCACACTTGCTATGGTACAGGCTAAAAGAAATGGAAACAACCATCTTAGAAAACAGAAGAGAAATTGATAACCCAGACGACAACACCTGCAACTTGAAGTCCCTGTCCTTCTAATGCTTCATCTTCCTCTTGCTTGCGCCCTGTGAGTTGCAAAGCACAGGTTGAGGTTGAACAACTACATTTGTCGTCGAAAAAGAAGGTTTGAAGCATAACCACATAAAAAGTCCTCGTATGCTTCTGGAAGAGACAGAAGTTATGTTTGCACAAAATTTAACAGAAACTGCTTCTGTTCTTGTTCCCGACGACACATATGTTGCACCTTCAAAGTGGGACCATTTTTATTGCTGGTGAGCTGCTTCCTGATGTCCTCCTTGACTGTGTATTCCCTGCGCCTTGCTTCATTGTGTGCTTCTCTATGTGTTATATCTTCAGTGCGTTGGATATGAAATGAGTAAAACTCCACAATGAGCTGTACTTCCCTGATGCTTGGGAGAAATCCCAGCCCAGAAATGCCCGTTGCAGAATCAAATAGTCGCAGGCTCAACACCTCAAGTTTCGGCATTGCTGTCTGCTCAAACTCCAGTGATTCGATTTTCACATGCATGCAAACAAGATAGAATACCACGAGGCTTCTGAAAAGGCCAGCCTGGAAAGTGATACTGATAGGTTCTTCAATACCACGGTCCAGCAAACGAAGAATGGATAGGTTTGGTAGGTTCCCAATGACTTGCATGGTTTCACTATCTCCTAGTAGCCCGGTCAATTCTAGATTGAGCTTCACGAGATTCTCAAGCCCCTTGATCCATTCTGGCAAACAATTTAGGCAGCCACGCAGTTTGAGGGTCTGCAGTTTTTCCGGAGGCCAAGACATACCATGCAAGCAGTCATGTAAATCCTTTTTTTCTGACCGAACTGACAAAGATTCAAGACAGCTGAGTCTAGAAATGGCTACACAGAACTCCGGACCATTTTTCGCGTTGATGCCAAACACTCCTAGCTTGCGCAAGCCGGTTAGACTTATTATCTCCTGCATGATGGCATTCCCCTCCAAAAGGTTCACATACCGCAGCGTGTGCAGGGTATTCACTTTCCTAATCCCTACTGGAACCTTAACACCATAACTCACGCCAGCATGCAGATAACGTAGCTTGCTCAGCTTGGTGATGGTTTTGGGCAGCACCAATATTCGTGTATATCTGATGTCTAGTGTCTCAAGTTGTCTCAGGTTACCCACGGAATCTGGAAGGTAGGAGATGTCCAAACACCTTCTTAGAGAAAGGAATCTGAGATGAATAAGCTTCCCAATGATCTCAAGGTGATGATCAGTGAGACCTATTGTATCTTCAAGGTCCAGCACCCGAAGAAACCTCATCTTATTGGAAATGTAAAATGGCCTGTACTTGCCATACACCGTCAATGACCTTATACGGGACAGCTCCACGGTGCTCTGGAACTCACGCTCATCTCCTTTCCAATTGCTGCTTATGGCAAGGTGACGCACCGCACCATGAGTGTTCGAGCTACAACCTTCCTCCAGCCTGAAAACAAGATTTTCCTCCACTGACTTGGCAATGCTGATATCACGGATCAGATCATGTAGCTGGCAGGAGTCAAATCCTTGTATGCTGTAAACTGATTGCTGAGTTGGTAATATCATGCTTCTCTCTATGAGTTCCATGAAGTATCTATCCGCTCCGGATCTATCCTGCGAGTAACCTTCTGCGATCCATCGGTACACCAATCGTCGCCGGCTAACATTGCGGTCTTCGGAAAAGATGGACATGTACAAAAAACAAGACTTGAGGTAATAGGGTAAGCCATCATAACTTTTCATAAGGACTGTTTTTATGACCTCAAGCTTTGGATTCATCTCTAGCTCAACACTGATATGCTCATTTAATTTCCTCCACTCCGCAGCAGTTTTTGTTGGTTGGTCCGCCAAGAAACCACCTATAGTGACTATAGCAAGAGGAAGTCCATTGCACTTCCTTAGGATGAGCTTGGCGGGTTCAACCAATTCTGGATAGTGCTTGGCCAAATCTGTGGATTTATTCTTAAATACCTACAATTGTGGAAAATATATTTAGTCTTTTTAGTATTCTACAATTAAATGAATCGTGTGCATGCAAACGTATCTTTCTAGTCTATTCATTAACTAGGCTGTTCCTGTTTCAGTGGCGAGTAGATAGTAGACCATATGTAATTATGTTTTTAGTTTTGTTGTTGTTTTGTACTTAAAATATCTCTTTCATTATTTTTTTGATTAAAGTGACTAGGAAATAGTTCCGGATGTATTAATTCCCTAAGTACAAAATACGAAATCAGACTATCTGGTACTGTGCACATCTCTTAACCATGTTTTTTTACAGAATAGTAGCATTCACATGGAGATGTTATTATCCATTCTTTGCATCCATGAAATTTCTATTAAATTATTAAAACTTGAATTTGCGACTTTGCTAAGTTTAAAAATGGGAAACAAAGAAAAGTTCTACTCTAGTCATGTGTTCATATCAACCTATTTGAAAAAGTACACTTAGTTTTGGAACAAATTGGAAACAAAATCATAGAAATGGAACTCATTTTAGTTCTAGTATAATTTGACATAAGAAAAGTGGTGAAGCAATGAATTCCCAGCTTGTTACTAACACGAGCTGACCTAACCAAACACAGACAATAGGTACCATGATAAATGTTTTCGTTTAATTGCTGAAATGGTAAAAAGGTTATCATTCCTACATGATGAAACTACAACATGGGTCACGTTGGAGGCCATTCTTATGTTTCTGCCACACACTCTGAAATACCTCATCGATATCTAGGGTCGCTGGAGTTGTGCTTACAATATACTAATCTCAAATGACTCTTTAAACAAAAGGAATACCAAAATGAATAGTGTGAATATCAGTAATACAAATTATGTTCTTTTCGTCAAAAAAATAAGAGTAATTTTCTTCCAGTACCTTATTTATGAAGAGGTCACATGCATGTTTGTCTTGTAGACCACTGAGCGAGCGTATGCACTCTGCTTCTTGCATGTACTCTGGTTTCTGGCAACAATGTTTAGCAATATCCTCTCGCCTTGTTGTGATCACAATAACCAAGCTTGGATTTTTCATTGCAAGTAAACTCGGCATCAATTTATCCCATTCCATGACCGATGATAGGTCATCGAGAATCATCAGACACTTTTTTCCTTGTGAACGTCTGCCCAACAGTTCAGTCAACTTTGCAACTCCCATCAAAGCAATATCTTTTTCGCTATCGCCTGCAAAGTCCATGCCGGTCTTCTTTGCTTCGAACTGACATGCTAAGCTTCTAAGGAGCTCCTCAAGCTTGAAAGGTCGCAAAACTGTGACAAAAGCATGTTTCTCACACATGTCGCTAACCTCTTGTCTCTGGTATACATCTTTGATTAGAGTGGTTTTTCCAATACCACCCATTCCCCAGAGCGCGATCACCTGAAGTTTTTGAGTACAAGCTTGTTTTCGAATTAATCCAATAATATCAGATTTTTCTTTCTCCCGCCCAATAAGCTGAAAATCCTCAAAAGTACATGGCATCATGTTGATGCGTGTGGGCATATTTTGTACTATCATCTTTCCATCAGTATTATCATTAGATTGTTCTTCTTGTATCTCATTCTCAGCAGTGCAGGGTAGTATTGAGCTAGATGTTGGCTTCCATGAATATGTAAAATCTTGGGACCTCTGAACAAAAGCAAATGATAGTACATCAAATTTTAATGATGAATCACTCAAACAAGTATTGACAAGTCAGCTCAGCACATGCCCTATTGCTACCCAACAATTTTACATAGCAGAATGAACCAAAATTAATAAATCAAGCTCCAACAGTATGTATACATGTCAATTTTGCTGAGATGACATGTAAGGATCGACTTTTCCAGCGATACTGAAAGCAGTTCAGAAATTCAGAAGGTAGAAAAGAACACGAACACAACTTTTCACTCATCACATAAAAAGTTAACTGGTATTACAAGAGAATATAAAGTTACAAAAAACAGTAGCACTCAGCATTATATATTTATATGACCACCTACATGTCATGTACAGCAAAACGTATGTGCGTAGCCTGACCACACCCTCTGCAGCCAGCTCTGGAAGGTACGACAGTTCTGGTGGAGTAGTGGAGACTGAACCAGTTCAAAGAGGGGGCAAATTTGGAAAGAGTCCAGTTCTTATGTAATTCATATTGATAGAGCAGAAAGAGTCCAGTTCTTACGTAATTTTAATTTGAATTGATAGAGGAGAAAGTGTTCTATTAGAATGAAGAGTCCTAGTATGATTTAGTTATGCCAACGTGTGCAAGGCACAGGCAGCCCTCTATACATTTAGGGAGCCACCTTTTCTTATGAGGCAAGCAAAAATTAGAACAAGTCGAATTATGTGTGTTCACGGGCCTCCCTGCTCTAGTCAGGCCTCCTCCACCCTCCTCCCTGGCCTCACGACGTAATCTCCACCTGCCGGAACAAATTCTGCTCTACCACCTCTTCAAACATAACACTACAACAATAGCAACATCACGGACAATCGCTTGGCCAAAAGCATTGCAACATAATGCTTGTATCTGGGAAGAAATATCCATGTTGCCAACCCTTTTCTGGACAGCTCACTGCACCCTTGCCGTGATGCCTCAAGGAGACGTGTCACCGAGCCTAGTCACCCGGGCGGCGAGCAAGAAAGTTTTGGTATTTCGCACTGAACGGCAGCAGATACCTCA